AAAACGCGGACAAACATCCATGGCTTGAGTGGGATTCGAACCCACGGTCCCAGCGACCAAGCGGCACAAGGCCCACTCCTCGTACCACGCGGCCCCAAATGTTATACAGAAATGTAAAATATCCGTTCTTGCAGAAAAATCTGCAGACTCAAAATCATAATTAAAATTAAAATCATAGCCTAAAATATCACTTTTGAACCAAGGCAGCCAATATGCATTACTACGACTTTAAACTCCTACAGCCTGCTCATTTGAAACCCACGAAGCTGCCAGCTGGAAATATGGTTACTTGACAATAAATGTTGAGAATTATTATAAAAATGGAAACAGACCACTGCAGTTACAAAAAAAAATAGAGACTCTACAGTGGTACAGGTCCAAGCTCAACGTGTCAAAGAACGTTTTGAAAACTTTGCGAAATACCGTTGTGCTTTGCTGTTAAGGTAACCTTAAAGTTTTCACATAAAGTACATTAAATACTCAAAGGATAAAAACATGACAGTTGATGGTATCAAACAGATAAGATTATAAGTAACCACACAACCTTCAGCTGGTGCTTAATGTAACAAAATTGAAAGTAAAATGTTTCTGTTTTGGAGAGAGAAACCCAATTTTCATTCAGACAGCTTACACGTCGCATAACCTGTATTCTGTTACAATTTCTTTGCTGGGATAAAATAACAGATAAAACTTGGTTTCAAATAAAATAACACAAGTCAAACAACGCTCTGTTCATACTTAAGTATTGTAGCACGAAAGAACATATTCATTTTACGATACTGATCAAACTGAAAACCAGTGCCGAGTGCCACGTGAAGCCGAAGACCTGCATATCTGAATTGCCTACTCAATGCGTAACTGCAATTTCTCATCCTGGAACAATATTCACAAACAAAACTTCAACTGCGCAAAATGCAATTTGGCCTTGAGAATTTGCTTAAAATGCCAAAAAAATTCTGGTGATCCCGCCCTAAAACACGTCTAAAAACAGAACACGGTAGGAAGTGGCATGATCCAAAGACATGAAGATTTGGAAGCACATCCAAATAATACTACACCACTTGATTCGCCTGCCGCAGGTACTAATATTCTCTTCGGTTTAACGGTAACAGCTGCAGAGCTAAGTCTACTGGGGCACGAGATCTGTCCACCACATTGTCAGAAGACCAAGCCACTGGACATACCTTGGTCAGTCACTCGCTAACTCATCTGTCCACATAAAACACCTTGCTACAGGTCCACTATGGCGTCAAGCAGTTACTGTATCACTGAGGTCATCTTTCAGCCACTGCGGCACAGATCTATACCCCAGCCGCTTCAGTAGCTTGACGAGAGCCGTGTTGTGCGACAAGTAGTACCGCTGTGAACACACACGCAACATACACTGTCAGAGAGAAAATGGGTCTTGCACAAACCCCACATACTGATTTCAACAACAAGAAGCTACCATTTTAACAGCTTGAATGATGGAATTTCCTGAAGATTTCCGTCTTCTGGGTTGTTGCGCTGTGTAGTCTGGTCGATGTTAACCAACGTTTCAGAGGTCATACTGCGATTCATCGCCCTGATGATGGAGGCAGTATGACCTCTGAAACGTTGCTTAACATCTACCAGACTACACAGCGCAACAACCCAGAAGACAGAAATCTTCATACTCTGATGACGGAGGCAGTATGACCTCTGAAACGTTGCTTAACATCTACCAGACTACACAGCGCAACAACCCAGAAGACAGAAATCTTCATACTCTGATGACGGAGGCAGTATGACCTCTGAAACGTTGCTTAACATCTACCAGACTACACAGCGCAACAACCCAGAAGACAGAAATCTTCAGACTCACCGCTGTGAAAACCTCAAGTCTTACATGGAATTTCCTCTCACTTCATTTTGTAATGGATTCTATATAAAGGCACTGAGAAAGCATGAAAAAGCTTGAAGACTTTGTATTGCAGTGACCCAGTACAGGCAATGCTTCTTTGGAAATAAATGCATACAAAAATTTGATGGTAAGTATTATAATTACTGAATAAACATAAACCTAACAGAGAAATTTCATGAAACCCCAACATTAAAACAGCTGTCAAGAAAATGGTAACAACATATGACGAGAAAACCGGAAAAGAAATATTTTCGTGACGCACGTTCCTGGTATAATAAACTTTCTTGATGAAATTTATAAAATGTGATTCCGCATAAAAGAATGTTGGTGCAAAGCTGCCCTCTGTCTTTACACGAATGCAGCCATTCTTCCGACAACATATAAAAGAAGCGTCTGAAGATGGCGATAAGAGTTCGCAGACAACCGCACACCAAGAGAGCTTCATACTGAAGCAATCCTATGAGAGCTTACAAAATAAATTACGAACTCCAAATACACACACAATGGTAAACCAACAAACCATTACACCCTGCTCAGTAATGTTTCACACATATACGAGGTGCGATCGGAAAGTTTCCAGACTGTGTCAATAGAGGGCGAACCGGATGTAGCACGAGCTTCTGCCGCTAGGGGGTGCGGCCTACATTCATAGTGAATCAGTGTGCCAGCCGGCATCATCGAATTAGCATTTGTTTCTTAGTTACGGGCGTTTTGGTAGTGCATTACACCGACCCTCCTGCGATTTCGGAATGGCGTGTGCATCAAATTTTGCCAAAGACTCGCCAAAACGGCTAAGGAAACCTATGAAATGCTAAAGCAAGCATTTGGGGAGTCCGCAATGGGTCGTGCACAAACGTTTGTGTGGCATTCACGTTTTAAAAAGGGCCGGCCGAACCTCTGTCGATGATGACGAGAGTTCTGGACGACCATCTTCGAGCACAACGCCCGAAAATGTTACGAAGATCGAAGTCGTACCATCAACGACTTGTGCGACATTGTTGGGATAGACTATGGGACCTCTTCCCAAAGATGAAAATTCAGCTAAAGGGAAGGAGATTTGAGACGATAGGAGAGATTCAGGCAGAATCGCAGATGGTGCTTGACAGGCTGACAAAGAAAGATTTCCAGGGATGCTTCCAGGCTTGGCAGCGGCGCTGGGATCGTTGTGTTCACTCCCAGGGGAACTACTTCGAGGGTGACGGATGAATTTAATACCTGAGATAAGTGTACGGGTTTTTATAGGCGCAGTCTTGAAACTTTCCGATCGCACCTCGTATTGCACTTACCATCTGGGGCAGGTTTTAAATGTGATGCTCACACAAATTTTCTTTTCATTTACAGACACTCTACCATGTGCGGCCACCAACGAGTTTCATGACTAATACAAAAAAGTACGAAGGAACCAATTTGCACACCCAAAGAAAATTTAGTAGCTAAATTTTTTATTTGCACATCAGATTCTGGAACTGTCAAAAATGAATTTAATCATGCAATTCCTCAACAGCAACAGCCGTTTTACAACGCAAAGGTGGCGCCATAAGATAACAGAGAAGTTAAGCATAGAGACACATAAAAAGCTGTTTACCTGCAACAGTTTGTAAGACTTGTCCTCCATGGGGGGATACTGGCGACCTTTACTCCGACCCAAACATTTTGTATGGTCCCCGTTTATCACTTGACAGAAGAAACCCTTCTTAGGGTCATACCTGGACAGAACATTGTAAGAACAGAATTAAGAAAAAGAATTAACTTATCATCTGCCACTTCTTGCATAAGCCAAAATAGAAAATGCCTTCGGCAGTGAGGTGACTGGAAGGGGGCTGGTTTATACAAGGACGACGACTTACGGCTTCCGGACTGAAATGCACGCGCTAGAGCACAGACCTTTTCGGTGTTCAAAACCACAATGAGATCTGTTTATACAAAATTCCAGGCACAGGTTCTAAGCGGAGTTCTTTGTATATACGAGCAATAGAGAACAGTTTGCTTTTAGAGTTTCTTTATCAGTCTGCGTGTTGGGCAATGCACATATCCAGATTCATGGGGACCCCCCCCCCTCCCAACTTCAAGGACCTGTCACAAGTTTTGAGACATACATTAATTTTATTTACCTTACTCAGAGATCACTAGATTCTGTGAACACATTTATGAAGAATCCTGTGGCTAATGTTGAAAACTCAATAATTCTCTGCTCTTCTGGCATATATGGATAATGAAAATTCTACTCCTTTCTGTATTTCAGCCATTTTTTTGTTCAGAACACAAAATTCTACAAGAGCACCCTATTGCTGGAATATAAGTAACTAACTAACTCCCTGTTAGCAGAACCCGCAGGTTCAACACCGACAACACCAGAGCCCGCCACCGGCCACAAACCTGAGCCAACTCCATCCATTTGCCATCCTCACAGCCAACTCCCCTCTAAGATTCATCTTGATGTTATCCTCCCATCTCCTTCTTGGTCTGCCCAGTTAACACTTTCTAGAAGGATTCCCTACCAAAATCCAGTGTACACTCCTTGCCTCCGCCTCCGTGTCACATGTCTAGCCCACCGGAGCCTCCTATATTTCACTGTCCTCACTGTGCTAGGCGACCTGTACAATTCACGCAGCTCGTCGTTATGCAATATTCTAAATTCCCCACTTATTTCATCCCTCCTAGGTCAAAACATCCTCCTGAGCACCGTTTTGGTGAAGAATGCTGTCGGTTTTGGAAATGCCTTGTGAAAACACACATTTTTCTTTATTTTCTATTTTGTCTCTGTCTTACAGTTTAGAAGATTCAAAATCCGAAACGATAACATAAAAACCTTTCTCCAGGATGTGGACCAATTAAGCTACTTTCAGATATCCATTTTCTGCAGATTAACAAAGAATTGTTTATATGTGCATTAATTTACAGAAAAGCCAAGTAGTAAAATGGACGAACACACACACAGACACTCGTGAACATTTCAAAGCAAAGACTGTCCTCCATATTTTAAAGCGTGCTCATGAAAGCTGGGAGCATCAACAGTGACAGATGCCTTTGAAATAAAATAAATTTTCAGCGTCATATAATTAAAATGCCCCCCCCCCCCAAAAAAAAAGGGAATGGGGGAGGGGGGGTTAACTGACACTTGTGAAACTTTGCGACACATGCAAATGCTTTAATTAAATGTTTTCTGTGTGTATAAAATCACAAAAACATGGATGTGGAAAAATTTTAAAACCTCATGGCTAATAATTTTAAGTTGGAAAAAAAAAAATTCATCTATCCCAGTTAAAATTTCTCACAAAGACAGATCACCACAATCTTACACAAATATATATATATATAATTTCTATTTTGAATTTCAATTAAAGTTATTTGTTGTCAGAACCACCAGATTCCTTCCAGCCTCTCTAAGTCCCCACATTGCAGCAAGCGACGTAGACCCTCTGGTTCATGCACCAATAATTTAGTGTCCATCACCAAGTACAGATTCAGCAATACCTGAGGTGTGTGGAGTAATCGAAAGGTGGCTGGATTTTGAGGAAACGCTGCAGTTCGTTCATCGTTTCGACAGGGTTCGACCGTAACTGGTCACCATCGATGATGTGTAGCTGCTGGGGCGGATAATAGGACAACCAGCGTTCCAGGTGCTGCGAGTATTTGCCAGGATTCAGGCACCTAATGACAACACAAAATAAAACCAACGATCTGCTGAACGGTCGTGGGTGGTCATGCACATATGAAAGTCTTCATAAAAACTTCTCAAAATTATTATCAAGTTTCCTGGTCCCAAAAAAAATGACTGCATGCAATGAAACTAAATTCAGACTTTCAACAACAGATTCTCCGCCGGAAGTTATACATAATCTGTATGAAATGAAAATCAAAAACAGGTCACAATTCGCTTTGTAAAGTCAAAAATCCATTAAAATTTGAGCGTACCAAAACTGTAACTGAACACACTTCAACAAAATTCAGAAATTCCCTCACAACTTAAGAACTTTCAATGCATTGCACTTGTCCTCATAAAATCAGTACACTGCACCACAGAACATATGTTTATTTTAAGATGGCTGTCTTCTGAGTTGTTACGCAGTGAAGTCAGGTAGAAGTTTACCGACGTTTCAGAGTCCCTTGCTGGATGCACCACTGCCCTGATGATGCAGGCAGCAAGGACATCTCAAACGCTGGTAAATTTCTACCTGACTTCACTGCGTAACAACTCAGAAGACAGCCATCTTTGGATCACCATGTGAAAACCTCAAATCCTACTTATACATGTATTTCAGTCACCCCAGTTGACATTATGATCTCTTGCAGAGCGCTTGCTTCATACTACGGCCGTGTATTACCCCATCACAGGTGTATTAGAGACTTAAATAACACAGGACGCAGTTCATAAAAAAATACACATAATGGAACACTTTTGAAATATGTTTCAAGTCCCACACGATTCCAGTTTCACAAAGTTCCTTCCGAATTCTGACTCTGGAACATAAAACTTCCAGCAGATGAAATAATGAAGAAAGCTAATTTTATCGAACAAATCAACTTGAATTAAAATTAGTAATTTAAATTAACCCACAAAATGAACAGGAACGACATACGTTCCTAATGTCTGTACTACTGTCCACGTCATTACATCTTAACACAGCGCGAGACCGGCGACCTGGCCTATTTTCAAAAGCAACGATTTAAAAAGAACAATCACAACAAACCCACTGATCCACAAAACTGAAAGGATGAAAGAGTAAAACATCAGAATGTAAAGAAATGTCCACATTCCGACACTGCTGAAACACAATCAGACTTTCCCGATACTGGGTTCAGGAGCCACGGTGCTAACTGGGACGGCCACTCTTCTGGACTTATCAGCGACTGCTCAACAAAATCTGACACGCAGTTTCAGAGATGAAATAAGAACAAAGATGAACAGATGCACTCTGTTATATATTTTGTGAAATAATGCAAAGTAAATGACACTGAATCAAAGTTTAACAAATTATGAAATTCTACTTCGTGCGAGTGTGAAGAAAACACACAAATAACAGTCCCCCCAGTTCAGGGGCAACCTAATCCATTTCAACAGTGGCAATACGCTCCTCTGGAATGTCAAAATGTCACGCTACAATGCCTGGCCTGATGATGTTCGTCTTCTGGGTTGCAATGCTGAGTAAACTCGTAAGCACAGAAATACATTTCTCACTGGTGCGAGAACCTGAAGTCTCACCATGTCTGACCTGTTTCTGAGTTCACGCAGAGGTTTGGGCGCCGTGTCGCTCGCTGTGATGACCTGGTGGAAGGAATAATTGAGGGCCACTTGATCGCCATGTGCTCGTGTGTGTTGGTACCAACTGTATGCTCGACGTGCTGGCGATATGAGAATGGTCACCTGCAAGTACACGCATATTAACAACCACGTCGAACTAAGCAAACTTCAAACACACGCTGAGGACGTCTGAGAACAAAATAGAAAGGAGAACATTTGGACCTGAGGAGGAAATAATAGGAGGACGGAGAAAACTGAACAATGAGGTTAGGTTAGTAAGTCACATGATTCAGAAAACATTATAAAGTGATCGGATGAAGGCGTATGAGACAGATATAACACGGAAAGAAGAGATGAAAAATGTTGACATAATATTAGTCAAAAAACTTGAAGAGAAGAGACTACTTGGGAGATCTAAACATAGATAACAAAATAATACGGTCACAGATCACTTAAAGACACTGTATCAACTTACAGAAGTGAAAATGATTATGGGCAGTGAAACACGAAAACATAATGACATTTTTCATGGGAAAATCCTCTGCTGTAAGATGGAAATAAATGGCAGATGAAAGAAACACAATAGATACATCTTATGATGTGATGCTGTATAATTTCAAGAAAGAAACACAATAGACACGTCTTATGATGTGATGCTGTATAATTTCAAATTTGGGAAGAGCCGGATATCTTTATACCTGTAATTCATCAGAGGAACACAGTACAAATCTGTCGTCAGCTCAGCTTTTATTCAACAGCCTGCCAATGTAGGTCTTGTGGGTCGTGGACTTACAGGTAGATGCCGATGTTTCGGAGAGACATATCATCTCCACCTTCAGGCAGGCACTACATCTCTCCAAAACACTGGCGTCTACTTAGAAGTCCACACGGCATCACACAACAGAAGAACAACTCTAACATTTCCACCACTGCGAGAACCTCACATCTCACCTGCCATTACCTGTATTTAAGAGAACTTACAAATCTGCAAAACAGATCATACTATTATGATGAAGAGAAAAGTATGATATAATTACAGTAACTTTTATCCATTTTGGAATAGGGGATTTAAACTCTTCTGCCACACGCCAGCCCCTCTACTACAGGACAGACACCAAATGTTGTGGTTGAGTGGGTAACCCTCCTGCTTCATATTCAGGAGGTCCCAGGTTCAAATCTTGGCCCAGAGGCTACTTTGCTTACTTCCATTCGATCACGTCAAATGCAATTATTTTATGGGGAAACTCAACAGATAGCAGAAAAGTATTTTACATTCAAAAGATGATCATCAGAATAATGGCAGGCACTAAAAGGATAGCCTCATGTATGGAATTATTTAAGAAGTTTAATATTCTTCCACTAGCCAGCAAATTCTTGCTCTCATTATCATCATTTGTAGCTGACAACGTAGAGAATTTTCAAACAAAGTCGGATATCCACAAAATGGAGTTTACTACACAGGAATTAGGCTATTCAGAAATCTTCCCTCCCACTAGAAAAAAGTCTGAATCATGTACAAAGAAGTTTAAGCCAGAACTAAAATGGCATCTCCTATCTCACTCATTCAATTAAACAGAAGAATTTATATCAGCCAAAAATTCTGAGCTATTACAAAAACACGTAAGCAAAAATGATTATGCTTTCTTATGTAATTATTTTTGTGGTAATACCTACTATAAATCACTGTCATAACTACGTAATTTACATTTGTATTGGAAACAAGTATTGTATTTAGAGGCTACTTTGCTTACTTCCATTCGATCACGTCAAATGCAATTATTTTATGGGGAAACTCAACAGATAGCAGAAAAGTATTTTACATTCAAAAGATGATCATCAGAATAATGGCAGGCACTAAAAGGATAGCCTCATGTATGGAATTATTTAAGAAGTTTAATATTCTTCCACTAGCCAGCAAATTCTTGCTCTCATTATCATCATTTGTAGCTGACAACGTAGAGAATTTTCAAACAAAGTCGGATATCCACAAAATGGAGTTTACTACACAGGAATTAGGCTATTCAGAAATCTTCCCTCCCACTAGAAAAAAGTCTGAATCATGTACAAAGAAGTTTAAGCCAGAACTAAAATGGCATCTCCTATCTCACTCATTCAATTAAACAGAAGAATTTATATCAGCCAAAAATTCTGAGCTATTACAAAAACACGTAAGCAAAAATGATTATGCTTTCTTATGTAATTATTTTTGTGGTAATACCGACTATAAATCACTGTCATAACTACGTAATTTACATTTGTATTGGAAACAAGTATTGTATTTGTGTTACGTCACGTTCTAAAACCTTTTGCTTGGTCCTGTGAGAACTCTATGGAATGCAAATAAATCCTATTGTATTCATATTAATAAATCCTTCCTTCTTCAAAACGTCATCCTCCATTCTACAAATCGTCTGAGAACAATCATTTCTCTCTCATTTACAAGGGTTAATTATCCTCAGTTCATTAATATACGTAGTAACGCAAATGTTTCGTAATGACCGCCATGTTGAAGCGTTACTCACAGAACACGTGACCGGCCTTACTTTCCCGTATCCTGGTCTGTCCACTCGCTAAACACTTCACGATTACTACCAACCCCAAAAACTTACACTGACCGCAAGCAACCAGCCTCAACCACATCGAAAGACGAGTTACAGAAATAATTCCTGATTATAATTCGGTCAATTCGTGATAAAATCTAGACCACCTCATCTTATTATTATTTAGTGTTCTGTCTGACGACAGGTCCATATGAACAGGACCCTTCCATCCTTTTCTCGGACTGGGACCTGTTCATATACGTTCTTGGCAGATGATCCAGAAGTGGTTTGCCATTGCCTTCTTCTGTGTGTGAATGGAGTAATTGTGGGGATGCCACGGAGGAAAACTCCGTATTGCCTAGACCACGGCCTTGCCCAACAAAAGTTATAAATTCGAACCCGAGACCCCAGGATTACAAGGCCAGCGTTCTAACCGCTACACCACCGTGGCATGTGTAGAAAGTTAGTTAGACTTGATGATTCATTGTGACTCAGCAGATAATGTTGCTGGACCTTATGCATTAAATAGGTTGAGAGGGGACTCTTCAACAAACTTTCGAGGTAGCTGCACGCAAACCCAACAGTTCTGAGATCATCGTCTTGTGGCTAAAGCCAAGTATTATCATCTGCACATCTGTATTTATTCTTAAATAATTAAATTGTGTATAAATAAAGTATTATATTCAGCGATAAAGGAAGCTTCTAGTTGTCGGGAGTTATATACCGTTAACACCCCTGAAAAGAGTCAAGTGATTACCAAGGAGCGAAGCTCCTATTACTGAGCGGCTATAATAGTCCATATTATTATTCTTCCTGGCCTCTGGCCGGCGTGTTAGGGGAACGTAATGGAGGAACTTTTTCAGAAGCAACGTACTTCGCTGTAGCACGCTTGTCTGCAACTACTAGTCTAATGAAAAACATCTGCCATGCGTACCCAATACTCGAGACACGCAGAAAACAACTCCACATTTTTTATAGAACTATAGTGTGGCTGTGATGAGCCGGGATAGCTCAGTCAGTATAGTGACTAGCTACGGGCTGGACGACCAGGGTTCGACCCCTGACGGGGGCAGAGGATTTTTCCTCTAGCCTCTGCGTCCAGACCGGCTCTGGGGCCCCCCCAGCCTCCTCTACAATGGGTACCGGGGTCCTTTCCCGGGGGTAAAGCCGGCCGGGGCGTGATGCTGACCACTCACCCCCATCTAGTGCTGAGGTCAAGGAAGAGAGGAGCTATACCTCCTCTCACCCCAAGCGCCTACATGGCGTATAGCGGGACAAACTTTACTTTACTTTAGTGAGGCTGTGACAACGCCACTACAAGACACTTTCACTTTACCTAAGTATTTCAAAGTATTTTAATAGGGGGGCATCTTAGAAGGTACCGAATGTTTGTCTGTGCGTTAGTATCACGACTCAGCAGTGTCAGCAATACAAACTCACGTGTCCACAGCTGCAACGCATCCAACGCAAATACCCCCTTGTGAAGCAATATCGGAATGTGAACTCGCCCAAACCCGTGACGCACCCACAAACGAGAGGCCAGGAAGAATAACATGGAATGTACTGACCGTTCAAAATACATTCATCCTCAACTACCTCTCTAAAAATAATGACATTAACACACGTGGCAAGACACCAGACAAGAAGTTGACACAAATGTTAAAATTACAGCTGAAGACAATGTTCAGCTTTCTTGTCTCAAAACTTAAAAGTACTGTCCATTCAGACTGTCCCTGAGGGTAAAATCACAATTATACTTGACAGACTTAAAGCATCCGAAAATGAAGCGTCTCTCTCAGTAAGGGCAAGTTTGGGTGCATTTCAATTCACACAGCTGTAAATTTTCAACGTTCACATAATGCGATGTCTTCCCGTCCCCCAAACTCAAGTATTTCTTGGAAGGATGACATCAAGTCAGTGGAAGACAATGACAATTTCAAGGTACAATAAAACGCAGACTTTCAAAGCTTTTTCAAAAGCATCACTCCAGAACACCGTCCACGAACGACGTTTATCATCCACAGCCGTGCATTTCAATGCCACAACTAAAGGAGAAAGAGTAGGCACCGCTCAGCAACACAGCATTTTGCTCCTACTTGATAATTCCCTCCACCTTGCGTTACATATCCAGCCTCGGTTGTTTCATAATTGTCAACAAAATATCGATACGGCAACTTCTCTAGACACGTTCCGAGACCTCTAACTATATGACTGTTTAAACAGTGCTATAGTGTTACCAACATAAGAATATAAAGAATACAGTGAAACCTCGATGCATCGTTTTCGGCGGGGGTGGGAAATAAAAACGATGAATACGGGAAAACGATAGTTGCGGGAAAGCATTAAAAATTTTAAAAAACTTAATGTTTCTCTTTCAGAGTTACTTCTTTTTACCAAAAAAGTCTTTAATGGACAACTGGTTTGTCGAAACTTTACGTTTTAGGCCAAACAGAGCCCTTTCCACGTTCAAAATGTTTTCTTCGTCACGTTCACTAATATTAAGCGCATAAAAGAACGACTTCACTTTTGCCAATGCTTCGGCAAAACTCGGCATAGCTTCGGGCTCGTATTCGTCGTCTTCCTCACCACTCCCTCAACCTTCGCGGACAATAACAGGAAGAATGGAAATACTATTACTGCCAAACTCAAAGAAACGAAACGTAGCTGTAGAAGACACGAGATGAACCAGAAGAATGAAAAGTGTCGCCCGCCTTTCCTTTGTACTTATAATACGTAAAAGCATTTGTGAAGAAATTCACACTGCACATGCCATCTGGCATCGCTGGAACGAAATATGAGTGCACCCAAATTAAAATCGTAAAATTTCTGACAATGGGCACCGCCATTCACTCCAACTATCACCCCTGCACCGCTGACCCCTCATTCCAAAAGAATCTGTGCTGGTTGGGCGACATAACAGGTTACCGCTACTGTTTATTCCAAAAACATTGTGCGTCTTTCGGTAATAATTTATCTCAAAACCCAGCATTTTAAATTCTCAGAAACAATCATTGCGGGAAAATTGTGGGCCGGGCGCTTACTGTCTGAGACACAAACAATACCAGATGCAGTGAAGAGTTGAACACGCGCTATACTCGGAATATTTAGCTCTGCCTACATCCACAGCAAGTAAACACGGCACAAGCCACAGAGAGTAAAAAATGTGGACCAGACAGACAAAAAAAGAGTGAGGAAGTAAGGAGATAGGTGGAAGAGAGAGACAAATTCCTTCCTGTTCTAACCTGAACCAAGAACGCTAGTCATGCTACGTAAGAACGCTCAGTCCGCTATGTGCTCACCAATCCAGCCCCCTGTAGTAGTTCTTGCCGTTAAAGAACTGGATTTCTTCAAACGTGTCAGGGCTCGGGAAGTTGCTACTAATGTCAGGATGCATGGAAAGAAACGTGTAGAGCGCAGTGGTACCCGTTTTCTGGGGCCCGATCACCAGGAACCTAGGCAGCTGTTCGCATGTTTTGTTATGCGACCAGATTTTCTGATGCCTTCCATCATCACAAGGATTCTGAAGCAGAGAAACAAATTAGTGGTCGGCCAACAGTAACACGCGTACATTTTAAAGATGAAGCGACTCAAAAGAGCAGAATACGTACACCCCAGACAGGATCTCCCTCTTCAGGATACAGCTGGAAGTAACGCTCACCAATCTGCAGTGGCGGCGCTGTTGTGAGCCTCAAATTAGTCCAGCACTGCAGAAACTTTATAACGGACTCGAACGTGTAGAGCGCCAGCCTGTCGTTCCCATAGTTGGACATGTGAGTCATGAAGATGTTAATCTGAAGAACACAACGTAAATAAGTGAAAATGGAACACTGTGCCGCGTCGTGAAAAATCTGAAACTAAGAGATCAAGAGAATACTGCGGTGGGAAAAGTGGAAAAAAATTTAACGTGAGATGCCGCACACAAATTTCAATTTGACGGTCCTCTTTCCTGTTGCCCATCACAGAAGTATTCTTCAGTCTGAGCAGGCCACAACTTGAAGCCTCATTTACGAGTAATCATTTTGAATTTGACGAGACCTGTTCTTAATTCTCGACGCGACTGGCTCTCATTCTCCTTAACCTCACAGAGCAATCGTTGTCGCCATTCTTCCATGTTTGTTCACTCAGCGTCAGCTTCTGTTACGCTAAAGGAACTTGTTAATAAAATATGAGCAAGAAGATATCCGTCTTCTGGGTTGTTACGCTGTGTAGTCTGGTCGATGTTAACAAACGTTTCGGAGGTCATACTGCCTCCATCAACAGGACGATATTTGAAGTTTTCACAGCGGTGAGTCTCAAGATTTCTGTCTTCTGGGTTCTTGCGCTGTGTAGTCTGGTCGATGTTAACAAACGTTTCGGAGGTCATACTGCCTCCATCAACAGGACGATATTTGAAGTTTTCACAGCGGTGAGTCTCAAGATTTCTGTCTTCTGGGTTCTTGCGCTGTGTAGTCTGGTCGATGTTAACAAACGTTTCGGAGGTCATACTGCCTCCATCAACAGGACGATATTTGAAGTTTTCACAGCGGTGAGTCTCAAGATTTCTGTCTTCTGGGTTCTTGCGCTGTGTAGTCTGGTCGATGTTAACAAACGTTTCGGAGGTCATACTGCCTCCATCAACAGGACGATATTTGAAGTTTTCACAGCGGTGAGTCTCAAGATTTCTGTCTTCTGGGTTCTTGCGCTGTGTAGTCTGGTCGATGTTAACAAACGTTTCGGAGGTCATACTGCCTCCATCAACAGGACGATATTTGAAGTTTTCACAGCGGTGAGTCTCAAGATTTCTGTCTTCTGGGTTCTTGCGCTGTGTAGTCTGGTCGATGTTAACAAACGTTTCGGAGGTCATACTGCCTCCATCAACAGGACGATGAATACATTTTCTTGTGCGTGTAAAATGTTGTACATTTTAAACGGCATTTTAAAAATAGTTATAGCAAAACTCACCGGATTGTACACAATTGTCTGGAACAGTTCTCCTCCTTGAATTGTCTCATCCAGTTTCTCCCGGCCCCCTGGATATCGCTCAATCATTATTGTGTGTGTGAACAATCCACAGGTTTGTCTTGGCAGGACCTACACAGCGGAAAATATGTAAATTACAGTCCCGAGCAGAGACGAGACAACGAAGTCAGGATCAAAAAGATTTCAGGTTTTTCAAAGTTTCACTCTGAATAAACTAGGATCCAAGCATTTCCCTTTCCATCTTCGAACACCAAATTTAAAAAAATGCTAGTCAGAATTCTAGAAACTACCAAGCTAATGCAGCAACCGAGTAGTTGAATCATAATTCTTTCATCACGGTTATTACATCAACCACAAAAATATTACTGAATTCCAGGCAATAAATCTCACTTAAATGTAAAATAATCAACGTACGTTCATTTTTGTTTTTCACAAACTGTCCTGAAAAATAAGGACGAGCCATGTGACACTATTCAAGTGTCACATGGCTCGTACTTAACCAATTGACAAGTCAGGCAGAACACGCAAATGAAGAGTGAACGTGACCCTTACAAGAGAAGGAAGATGACAAACGAGAAGCTGTATAGTACTTGAAAAATACGCACAAAAAACATAAGTTCCAAATCATAGACACTTACATTTCTCAATATATGTTAACAAATAAATGTAAGATTTGAAACAGCAGGCCCAAAATCACATACACAAGTATTTCTTAAACAAATCCATAAACGCTTAAAATTTCAAACAACGCACTTAAAAAAATGTGCGATTTAGATTTTACGTCCGGGATAGCTCAGTCAGTATAGTGACTAGCTACGGGCTGTACGGCCGGGGTTCGATCCCCAACGGGGGCAGAGGATTTTTCCTCTGGCCTCTGCGTCCAGACCGGCTCTGGGGCCCACCCAGCCTCCTCTACAATGGGTACCGGGGTCCTTTCCCGGGGGTAGAGCCGGCCGGGGCGTGATGCTGACCACTCACCCCCATCTAGTGCCGAGGTCAAGGAAGAGAGGAGCTATACCTCCACTCACCCCAAAAGCCTACATGGCGTATAGTGGGACAAACTTTATTTACTTTTACATGCAGAGAAAAATATTTAGACATAACTGTTAATTTGCAAATCAATACAGAGTAACATTGAATGGGCACGTTCGTACAAACGCTACACCCGCTTGTCGACCGACATAGAACAGAAACTGTCGGAACCAGAACAAGATGGCCTACTTATAGTTCACAGTAACATCACACAAATGTAGCAAATTACTACACCAGAGGTCAGCACGACACAGAGAAAGTACCGAGCAAAGACAGATGAAAGAACTCCTTTACATTTTATCTGATTCAACAGCGCTATAGGAAGTTCAAGGACATGTCATGAAATTACAAATGTAGGTCACCAGGCTGCGGCATGTACAAAAATAATTCATTACCATAATGTTTCTATGAATAAAACCTCTTCGCAGTCGAGCTGGACGCAAGTGCGGATACTCCTCTGTGGACGTGACTCGGATATTCCAGACCCTCTTCCAGGCCTCATACAGTAGTTCATGTACCGGATACACTCCAGAGTGGTGAGGCGCAATGGAGTAACCAGAGTCCACCGGAATGCCATGTTCCTGAAACAGAACTACCTGCATCACGGGATCGTTGCAAATGACAATTAAAATATGTGGACGCACACGTAAGCCGGCGTAGTTCAGTCAGTATAGTGACTGGCTACGGACTGGAC